CAAACTCAAGGCCCGGGGGCCAAATCAGGCCCGTGGTGGATTTAATTTCGGCCCGCAGGATCATTTCTAATTACTATTAGATCTGGCCCGCCGGTATATTGCACGCACACCTTCACTCAATCCTGAGGGTCTCCTCAGCTCGGAGCCTGACCCCAAACATTGATGACCTTGCACCCAAGATGAGATGCCAAGTATCTGCTTGAACTAGCATCACACTGTGATGCTAGTTCAAGCAGATACTTGGCATCTCATCTTGGGTGCAAGGTCATCAATGTTTGGGGTCAGGCTCCGAGCTGAGGAGACCCTCAGGATTGAGTGAAGGTGTGCGTGCAATATACCGGCGGAATTTCCTGCGGGCCGAAATTAAATCCACCAAGGGCCTGATTTGGCCCCCGGGCCTTGAGTTTGACACGTGTGTTAGACTGTGTGTTGCAGCAGTGTAAAAAACGTTGTAACCCCATCTCCCTCTCTCTGTCCGCTGAAGGTCTGAATAAAGGAGCGGCCAACGGGGGGATGGCTCAGTTCCAGGAAATGATGCGGCAGCAGCTGGAAAGCTCGATGAACGCAGAGCTGGAGAAACTGCTGGACAGCACCGAGGGCTCAGATAGAGAGGTACACCAACCTCTCTCTCTCTCTTTCCCTCTCTGTCTCCCCCTCTCTGATTCTCTCAGAGCATCTGGATGTGATTTAAAGGCTGGTTGGGTCACACAGACACTAACACTGGAAAAGCACAAAAGTGACACATACTGTAGCGCAGTGCCAGTAAGGAGACCCACCCTCATGCTTACAGACGCACACATACTTAAAGTGCACGTCAGAAGGTGAGGTTTAGGCAAACATTCATCCTCAATTATGATATAATGCGTCATTAGGGACTCCCAGCTCATATGAGACACCATATATTTGTCCTGTTGGCCCCAAATATAATTCTGTTGTTAGGAGTAGCCCTATGTTAATACAAACTTGAGACTGTCTCAGCAATAGCAGCAAGAAAACTAGATTTGAGCGTGATCTCATCTGTTTTCTCTTTGCTATGACGTTTATAGACCTTGAGACAAATCTGACACTAAATAAAAGATTGAGTCCCAACACACTGTTTGACTCTTTTAGACGCAAACCAGGCACTCTCAATCTGCCACCTATCACAAAAGAAAAAGAGATCACTCAGTACTTGACTCACACTTTGACTCCTCAAGTGTTTTCACATTTATAATGGGTGTGTACTTTCAATTCACAGTACTAGCAGTTATGCAATAAATAAGCCATGTACACACGCACGTCTGTAGAGTACACACACATTCTTAGTTAATCCCCGTTCAAGCTGAGCAGGTTTCTATTGTTTACCTTTTTCCAATACCTGAGATGCCTTTTGTTCACTAGTCGACTTTCTTATGAATAGATCTGTAATTATCAATGTCATCATAAGACCGCTGGATGCTTTCAAACCACACCTCTGGGTTAACTACATTTTTTATTAATAGTTTTTGACCTACACACACAACAATAATAACAATTGGTGCCCTTTCAGAAGCAGATAGTACATTTATTAAGTGAATGAATCTCTGATTGAGCCGAACTGCATATGTGACACATTTCTGCCCACCTGTTCGACATTAATGGTGTTTTAAATATAATGCTTTTGTTTTTCAGGTGTCCAGGAAAGACTTTGAGGGTTTCAGGAATCTTTTCCAAAGATTTCTGCAGGTGAAGGGACCTTCAATAGAGTGGATCAAGATACAAAGACCTCCAGAGGACTCGGTGAGTTTGTCAGGAGTTTTATTTGTGTGTGTGTTCTGCGCTAATGGGCTTGTATTGAAGAGAGCGAGAACATCACATGTTTGTATCTCCTATAGGAACTTCTGTTGTTTGCCAAAAGCTCTTAATGTTTCTGCATCTTACAAGTGAAGATATATGAAGTTTGTATTGTCTTGTCACGAGAAAACTAAGCTAAGACTAAGAAATAATGAATATCACAACACAAAACACTCCAGGAGGTCCCGTTTGAATAAACATCCATGACATTGAGTCTTACAACTCTGGAGAGTTATCAATCATTTATCCTCCTTCTCAATGATTACAAGACCAACAGTAAAATGACACTGAGGTACAAATCTAATATACGTTTATACGACGTGTGTCACCAGTGCACACAATCAGAACTGACCTTTGAACACCTTTTTCTTTTGTTGAAAACATTCCCCAATACGACACCTCGTTGCGTCTTCAGGTGGCCTCAGGTCTGGTGCACTAAGCAGGTTAACAATGGGAAATGAAAGAAACCGTATTCAGCTTTTCACCTCGAGTCAGGCGTGTGTTTTTAGTCACGGGCACACTCCTATTCCAACAGCCATCACTCATCACGAGGAGCTGTTGTGAAACCACTTGAAACTTCAGAAACATCCGACTAGATGACGGCAAACAAACTCTCAAAAAGTGAAATGATAGATCTGCACTCAAAAGTGTGCATTCCTAAAGCTGACTGAATTCTTCATCAACCAGTCGTTTGTTCAAGTCTACTGATTCAGTTTGAACCTGGTATTTCTGCACAGTTGCAGACAAAGACTAGGCTACACTAATATCATTGCTATACTATTAGTAGAATTAATCAGAATCAGAATAGCTTTATTAGTCCCACAGAGGGGAAATTTGCAAGATTAGATTCCAGTTGTTGCAGCATAGGATTGTTTACGACTTGTGTTCTCCTAACATCTCCAATAACTCAAGTGCGTTGTAAAGTCCAAAAGTAAAGTTTTATTATTCTGCTCCACTACATATTTGTTGGCAATTTAACCTTGGCAATTTCACTGCAGTCAAAAGAAAGTTGATTTTAACAAAAAAAAATACTAACCCATTTAATCTGTGTCTCCTTTTCCACTTAAGGATTCTTTTCTAGGTAGAAAATGTTTTAAAATGTCACGTCATAAAATCAAAGGTTAATTTGAAAACTTAAAAAGAAGCTTTTATTAAAACATATTTTTGGTACAGCCCTTTTAAGCGATGCTCATCAAATCTTTACTTGTTGTGGTTTTGCGTGTTATCTGCCAAATGATATACCTCAGTTAATATGTAAATATGGCTGCATCCAGGGCAGTAAAGATACGGTGTTACAATATTCACTACAAAACTAATTTCAAGCTTACAGAGGCTTCAAAACAGAAAAGAGTAATATTCCATTTAATCAATATTTAAAAAACACAACAGTAAAAACACTTAAAGCATGACCTGATTACTCAGCATGTGTTAATCTTTTTTTTTTTTTATGACATATTTCCACCACATGAAAAAAGGCCTCATTGATAAGATCAAGTGACATCAGAGATAACAGTGTTACACACAGTGTCCTGAAGAGTCATAAATATCTGTTTCCACTCAATGTCAATCTGGGTGTGTGATTACAGCTTGAATAGGAAAAGCCTGGCTGAAGTCCAAGTGGAGCTATTTGAGGCTTGTGTCTGCAATAGTTATTATTTAGTCAGAGTAAGTAAAGTGTATTCAACTTGGCCTGGTGTGCTCTTGACTCTCGTGTGTTTTCACTCAGACAAACAAAACTCTAAATCATTCATCTGTTTTATTGAAACAGTATAAATCAAACATGTGGCTCATGGACTCTTTTAATACATGATTTATTTCGTAAATCTAAGGGTATTCAGGGCCAAATTTTGCATTTACATGAACATTAGACTTTATCGGACTCATCAAGGTGTGAAATCTTAAATTTGAGCTCAGTAAAGTTACAGATAAGCTGAAAACAAAGTGGTATCAGTTTTAAATTAAAACATTGCGTAACAAAAGGCGGTTTTAACCGGTCCAACCCCAGTTTAATGGCCAGGAAAACCGCTTTAGTGTTCAAGTTTTCTTTATCCTCAGAGTTTGAAACCAGTCCTTTCAACTTAACACTTTGAATTAAATGACATTTGTGATTCACGACACCTCCACTGTTACAGCTCAGTTGCATGTCAGAGGAAACAACGAGTCCATTGTCACTTGTTTCCCATTTCTTCCAAGCCAAAGCCATGTGGGACATTGCTGGAGCGGAAGTATTCAGAAGTCCTAAACAAAAACTGTTTGATAGTGAGAGCACAGCAGTCACACAGTCAGGGGGGTTTGAGTCCCATACGAGACACCAATATCGAAATGATATGCTCTAGTCTTTGCATTTTGAGCCATTTCTGAAGTGAGTGGAACATCAGAATAATCTGCAGCTTCAGCATCATCAATATTTAAACCAGTGAGATACATGGAGTTGAGTTTAGGGGCACAGAGACAGTGTTTTTCTTATTATAGATTCAGGTTCAAATGTAGTTTTTTAAGACATTAGTCATTTGACGCATTACAGTGACCATGCTGCAGTGAGGGTCAGGCAAACTAATATGTCCATAATATTGTTCTGGTTTTGCAGAGTTTTTAAAACAAAAATGGACTTGAGGTGACTGAATTGGCCATAAAGGACTATAAGAAGCTCAAAGGGACCCCTGCCTGAAATAGACTCCTTTGTTTACTTTCACAACATAGTGACATCACTATGTAACACCCGTACTTCTATAGAGTGCCACAGTGACGTGTCCTAAAACCCGGAAGTAAACTCCTTCAAGTTCCTTCGACAAAAAGCAATGCAATTTCTCCATAGGGCTTTGGAAAATAGCTGGAAATAAGGTCTGTGGTTGACACACATTTAAGAGACTGATCACGCTTTGTTCAGCCGGATAATCTCCAAGTGTCTACTCTACTTTTATAATTTTATAATCATAAATCTATCGATTAGATTTATGATATAGAAAAGTATAAAAGTTTTTGTCGAAGGAACCGGAAGTGGTCAAATGCTAACTTACTTTTGGGTTTTAGGACGCGTCACTGTGGCACTCTATTGCCTAGCGCTCCAACACATTGTACGTGATTTGAAGGGGCGGGACATCTCTAAGCGGTTGACCAATCACACCAGAGCCGACCAGCTAACCAATCAGAGCAGGCTGGGCTCTGGTTTCAGACAGAGGGTGAAAAGAGGTGCTGCAGCACAGGCAGTATGAGAACAATAAAGAGCTTTTTGAACATTAAAGCATGGAGACATGTCAGAGTAGAAGAACAAAATACAATTATGAACCTGAAAATGAGCATATAGGGCCCCTTGAATTGGTCAGCTTGTGCTTCCTATACAAGTTGCTGATGCCTTTGTATCTCTAAAGCCACTTTCACACATACAAAGCCAATCAAAGTGCTGACTCAGAGTTTCTTCGAGGTGCTTGTGCAGGATTTCCTGGTTCCCTTTAACTGAAGTAACTCATTTTGTAGCTCTTCCTTAGTTTCCAGTCACAAGGGATGCTTCAGTTTCCTGGACACTGAGTTTCCATGTTATGTGTAAACTTCAAAGTGCAAGAGTTTTGAAAAAAAATAGGATTAGCTTTCATCTCAAGGGAGGAGCTTTGAAGTGTGAACGCAGTGTTATGTGTCAGTCAAAGTGTTGCACATGAGAGAAGCCTGTAAGTAAAGCTGAGATACATGACTGTCTGTTTGCTGTGTTTGAAACACTGAGAAACTTCCTGCTTCCTCTCCTACTGTGTGACTTTGTGTTGAACTCAGCCAAGTTCTTAACAAGCTGGAAATCGTCATGATGCAATATCTTTTGCCCAGATACAATCATTTATTTGTACGGTAATTCACTGTGAAGTAAAACAGGCCTTTCTTCTTGTTTACAATCCAAGTACAGTGGTCTGTTTTATAGAGAACAATGGGCTTATCCTTATGTGTTTTTATTTTGTTGTCATGGTAGTGCCGCTGTGAATTGTTAAAGGGTAAGGAGAGATGTAAGTGTGCTGAGGCATTAAAGCAGGCAAAACACACACCCATGTTACATCTAAAAATGATGCACATTGTTTTAATTGTCCCCACATTCCTCACCAGCTTTCATGAATTAGTGTCTCAGGATTTAATACCCTGACAGTAAAGTCTCTTAAGGACGGGCATACAATGATTTTCATGTGTGAGCATTTTTAACATTATCTTCTGTCATTAAAAGTCATGTGACAGAATTTCACATATGAAAACCATGGTGTGTCAAACTCAAATACACAGTGGGCCAAAATAAAGAAAATGGGTACTAGTGGAGGGCCGGACTGGTTCAATGTTTATTACAGAACTTATTGGAATGAGCTTATTGCACATAGTAAACCTGGAACTAATAAAGCTTAAATTATTGCCTATAAAAACAACATTAAACATTAAATAATCAGTTGCATTCATTTCTTATGGCTCTATCAGCAGCTTTTCCAGAGTCATTTCTTATGGTTACATTTCTCCACAGGCCAACAGCAGCTTCAAGAAAACTATTTCCCTCAAAGAACAAACAAACATGCCCTGTTGTCGTGAGAGAAAAAGTGCAGAAGGAAACATCCATTAAACTCGGTGTGCTGCTCTTTGATGCTAGTTCAAGCAGATACTTGGCATCTCATCTTGGGTGCAAGTTCATCAATGTTTGGGCTCAGGCTCTGAGCTGAGGAGACCCTCAGGATGGAGTGAAGGTGTGCGTGCAATATACCGGCGGGCCAGATCTAATAGTAATTAAAAATTATCCTGCGGGCCGAAATTAAATCCACCACGGGCCTGATTTGGCCCCCGGGCCTGGAGTTTGACACATGTGGTCTAAAGGGATGTGTTTTGATTTCTGATGTGGATTTGTATACGTGATTTCCTGAAGCTAGGATGTAACGTTGAGCGATGTGTTTCAGATTGATTTGATGAAAGCTTTACCAGGACGCTGCACTTAA